TTCTGGACAGCAGCGGAGGGCGACGACCCGGCGGCAGGCGGCGGCGTGGCGGCGGCAGACCTCTCCCGGCTCTGATACCACTGTGAGTTCCAGCTCAGGTCTCCGATTTCACCCACAAAGGATGAAGAACCACCACTACAGTCTATAAGGGGAAAGGGGCGTCAGCCAACAGGCTATTTTCCGGCCAACTCAGCCTAATTCCGACCAAGCTCGGTCAATGTGCGAAAAAGAGGAAGAAGAGGGTTTCGGCCAAGCTTACCCAATCGACCGAGAAGGAGAGAGTTTAAATAGGCAGAGGAAAGGTACCAAGAATGGTAACTTACCTTGCAAAGGAGATATGCGCATCACTACCCAGGGAAGGAAAGAACCGCGTGAGAGAAGAAGCCGATCGACAACATCAAAGGCTCGGTGCGGAAGATGAAAAGAACAATGGGCCAGAGCAACCTAGGTTGAGTTGGGCTTATGGTAAATACTGGGCCAATACCTAACAACATAGATTAATGATTTTGAAAATATTGTATTGCTATTATCATATAGAAAAATTATTGGTAGAGTTTTTAATAATATATACTTCGTATATCACATTTTAATACATTATTTCGTATTATCTCTTCACTCCTTTTGAAAATGAACATAAATAATACTACCTTCATTAATAAATAAAAGGAGAGAACTATCAAATAAACCCTCAAACTTTCATAAAAAGTGCAAATAAACCCTTTTACGGGAGACTTTATTCAGTTGTCGCCATTTGAAGCAGTTTCTGGTGGAATTTTTTTATGAAATTTTTTTATCATCTTCTTCATTAAGTTTAGTTTACTCATACCAAATTTAGATAAAAATTCAATCGAGAAGGCAGTCAAATAATTTTCTGAAATATATTGTGTTGTCTAACTGCGCAATTATTTTCAAAAAGTCGAATAACAAAAATGTCTCTGCCACAATAGTCGAGGAATTGAAAAAAGGAAAAACTCATATTTAATGTGTCTTAGGGGTGAAGAATTGGGCTTGTCAAAAGAAAAAGCGAGGGACTAAAGTTGCATAGCTTTTGACGCATGAAAGATTCTTCCTTCACGGATGATCCTGATAAATCTGTACAAGAATTTTGTCCGTGAGGCCTTTCATCATTGAGGTGCATTTTTCCAATTGAAAACATTATTTAACCAACATGTCTCTGAAATTTGCCACGTACGTATTAGGTTGTGTATATCTTCTCCAATTTTTCTTAGTATGTATTGTGGATTTGTGGACATCTATTTTTGTGTTTTGTATTTAAAAAAGTTTAAAATTATATTTTCAAATGATATTTTCAAATGATAGTTTCTAAATAAATTACTCACTTTTTTTCTAGATGTCCCTAAATAAAGTCATATATTCCTATTTAATAAACAACTATATACTCCGTATTCATTTACTCTATTACTCTTAAATAATAATGACAAAACAATGCAAAGCAGCGTTAAATCGTGTCAAATAGTGTCAACACAATGTATTTTATAGTAAAATTTAGGGTTGACATATTGGTTTGCTTTAATTGAACCGTACCAAATCGAACTAAATCGAACCGGAACCGGACCATATTTAAATCGGTTTGAGTTTGATAATATTTCTATCAAATCGTATTAAATTGAACCGAACCGAATCCGATAAAAACCGAACAAAACCGAATCGAACTAAAGAAATTCAATAAAACCTTCATATATTACTCCCTCCATCCCGGTCATTTCTTCCAACTTTCCTTTTTGGGTCGTCCCACTTAATTCTTCCAACTTCCACTTTTGGAAAAAATAAGTGGTTCACATTCATTCACTTTTTTCTTACACAACTACAATCAAACATTTCCAGTTTATTTCCACTTTCTAAATTTGCGAGTCAAGTCAAACTTGGAAGAAATGACTGGGACGGAGGGAGTATTATAAAATAACAAATCTAACCCGAACCGAAAAATAGTATGATTTTTGTTTGGTAATAGTTCTCTCAACATGTTCTAAACTAAGCCGAACTAAAACCGATAAAAACCGAACCGAAAACCAATATGTCTACCCCTAGTAAAATTTACCTCCGAGTAAAATGAAAATTTCAAGTAGTCAAAGTAAACAAAAAATACTTAATATGAGTGCAAGTCACTTTCCATCATTTGGAAAGGAGCCACCCACTATTTTTGGTTTAAAAATATGATAGAATAAAGCAAAGAGAAAATTAACACATGTATCACTAAAAGAGATACAATTTCCTGATGTATGACTTGATTAGTTTTTTTCCCTAGAATGATGCATTAAGGACATGCTATCTTGTAAATGTAACTCCTATATTAAAGCATATCCTATGCGTGTACACCCATTACTAGTCATATAATGGTAAGTAAACTTTTTAAGTCATATTATGGGAAAGTGGACATGTTTTAGTAATATATTGGTATTTTCCCCTAAAGCAAAATGACTCAATAAACTGTATGCGCTTCTTTGTTATGAAGTAGCAGTCAATCCATGCAATTTTGGAGTGGATTTTCACTAAGCATCATCCGGAAACAGTCTTTTTGTGCGTTAGTATAGGGTTAAGACTGCGAACAATCAACCCCCCTTATCCCACTATAGGTGGAAGCCTTCGCGGCACTGGAGTAATGATAATGATGATGATGAGTGCAAGTGGGACTTTTATATAGGGACGAAAGTAGTGTATGTTTTCTTTTTAAAACTACTCAATTGTTCTTACAGTTTCTATCTTTTCACCTCCTCTTTCAGACTTTTCCATCAACTTTTTCTATAAAATTCATTACCCTACTATCATTTTCTTAAATATTTTGTCAAACTCTATTGTAAAATGAGTTTGAATATATAATTTCTTAAATACTACCTTTGTCTCGTTCAAATATTTTCATTGCAAAATGACATGATTGTTTAGACATTAATTAAATATGCTACTTTTGAGTATATTTTGAGAAATAATTTTGATGAATATATAATATTATTGATTATTGATGATAATTGCAATGTTATAGATGTATTTTTTTTAATATTTGATGATTAAGGATGTTTTTACTTGGACTGTAATTTGTTGGTCATATCTGGTCAGGTTTGGTCTAGTCTTTACTGGTCTGGTCTTGTTTCTTTGTATTTTTATAACTATCCAAGTCTGGTCTGGTTTGGTCTGGTCTGAACTGGTCTGGTCTGGTCTGATCTGGTCTGATCTGGTCTGGGACGAATTACGGTCCAAGTAAAAACATCCTAAATTGTTATTTAATAGTGTTAGTTGTTTACAAAAATAGAACGGATTATATTTCATCAAAGCTAAAACTGAAAGCGAGTGGATGAGTGCTTTAAAATATTATTTTATTTTATACTCTGTAAAAACATTTTTATTAAACACTCTAAATGCTTTTAGCATTTCAAAATCATTTTCAAGGGAAAATTACACTTTTAATCTCTGAAATAGTCACCATATTGAAATGTCAGACCCGTGTTCCCTAGTTTATAAATGTCACCCCTCAATTGTCCATATTGCTGCAAATGTGGTCTTTTGAGGGGTGAAATGTACAACGTGAGCGAGAAGTACATTTCACCCCTCAAAGGATCACATTTACAGTAATTTGGAAAATTGAGGGGTGACATTTACAATCCCATAAATACAGGTCTGACATTTCAATATGATGACTATATCAGGGACTAAAAGTGCGATTTTCCCTTTTTCAAAATATTTCCAACTTCATATATAGGAATATTACTATATTATATATTCCATCAATCAATATTCTAATAGTAATTCATGTCTACTCATATGTTAGTACTTTCATCAATTTTAAGAGACATCAAGTCTATTTTTTCTCACTTGAAGTGCAAGCCAATGGCGAGTGATCGAGGTCAAGTAGCTTGCCACCGCACAAGATAGGAAGAAGAAATTTAAGTAGATTTTGGATGGTTATAGGGAGTATTATTTAGTATGGAGTAACGTTTTAAAAGATAAAAATCACTACCTCCCGATTTAAACTTCACATTGATAAATAATACAGTTATTTAGAAAAGGGAAAATCACACTTTTAACCTCTGAAATAGTCATCATATTGAAATGTCAGACTCGTGTTCCCCATTTTGTAAATGTGACCCCTCAATTGTCCAAATTGTTGTAAATGTGGTCCTTTGAGGGGTGAAATATCGTAGTGGGTGAGGAGTACATTTCACTCCTCAAAGGACCACATTCACAATAATTTGGACAATTGAGAAGTGACATTTACAATATCAGAAATACAGGTCTAACATTTCAATATGGTGACTATTTCAGGGATAAAAGTGTGATTTTCCCTTTAGAAAATAATTAAATAAAGTTATTCTGATATATTTTGAGAAATAACTTTGATGAGTATATAATATAATGATATCACTAATGATAATTGTGATGTTATAAGTGTATTATTTTTAATATTTATTGATTAAGTTGTTATTTAAGTGTTAATTATTTCTTAAAATATAAGTGGAAACCCTAAAACAAAAGATAAGTGACGAGTTTAAGTCTGGGACATAGTAATACTCTGTATTTGTATCACAAACTCTAAAGTAATATTGACTCCAACCTTTCCCTCATTTCTACCTCCTTGCAAAATTCCCCTAATGTGTTTGTGTACAACCTTCCACATGAGTTGTTATATATGTGTGTTTACATGTCATCTAGTGCTCTCTTCAAGAGTTGTTCATGACAAACATGATACCATTATTAACCCATTTAGCTGTTTGCGAATTCGTATAATACTAGCAATTTTTGAAAACTTAGCATTGTAAAGCTACAATAGCCTCATTTAACCATTTTAAAATGTTGGGTGGTTTTGCTTACTTGAACTTTAACGAATAAGGAAAGTTCTTGAACGTTAAGAAACCATTTGACTCGTTCTAATTTTTATGCAACTAATGCGATCCTCGTGTTTAATAAGTAAACAATGAGTATATGTCCTCAAAAGAGTACTAGGTATGATGATAATTCTTCTTCATAAATGGAGCATTTTGTGTATTAAGTAATTTGTGTCCACAATACTCCGTCTTATTATGAGTAGTTTAGCTTCTTCTTTTCTTGCAAAAAAAAAACTCCAATTATAATGTCACAAAATGTTTTTGAGCAATTATTAAGATCTTGGCTATCACACTACTGCACTGCAGGTAGAAATCCCAAGCTGGATTTATTCTATTCCAGTAAAGGTTCTTCTAAATGATATGAATGGGAGGTCCGCAAGTCCATCATGAATGAAACTATAACTCCAAGAAGTGCTGCTACTCCCGGGATGAACCCCAGTGAAAATCGGGTTACGGAGAAACATGCATGTTTTGGATTACATGGTACTGGATCAACATCTGCAAAAACACAAATTTTGTATGTATCACTAACAGAATATATACAATATAGATTGAATGGGGAGATTTTTTAGTTGAAAATGTTAATATAACTCTTTTCTGCATTTTGAGACAAAGGATGGGAGTTTGAGCACGAAAACTAACTCTCAAATGATTCAAGAAAGTACAGTGCTATTCCACACAGTACTTTGTCAATGAAGCCCATTGATCCGTATACGAATGTTGAGCCATCAAGGTGTTTATCTACTAGAGCACTCTCCATGCCAGTTGAAGTCACCTTTACACCAAATAGAAGAAGTTCTCATACAATAGTGCAAACATGCATTGAAAAATGAATGTCTTCATATTTATAAGAAACATGCAAATGCAATTCGGATAATGCATCTATTACACGAATAACCCAACAAGAAGTTTCGTTTTATGGATTTCATACCATCATCATGGAATTTGCAATTCCTATCAGAACTGATAGGGCGTACATAAATAGATTTAAGTTTATTGGAAGCCACATTACTGCTGCACCACATAATAACCAGAGTAAGCCACCGCTAGAGAACAAGGTTTTTAACTTTTTGTTGCTCCAGGCAAGCTCCTACATTCAATGAAATAATTTATAGTGCGATTTATTTCAGTTTCATTCATTCAACTGTCGCAGACATCAAAGTGAAATACAATAACATCAATTAAAATTTCATAATGGACCTGTAGAAGGACAGAGGTAATGAAGCTGCAGAGATAAATGAGGGCAGGAACCTATCCATATCAATGGTTCATAGTTAATCAAAGGGGACACCCATTAAAAATTAAAAATGGATTATATTTCACGTGAAACGAAAACAAAAGACTCATTTGTCACAAATACCAGTGACTTTGAAGATTGGCTCATCCGTAAATCATTGATGACGTACACCGCAAGAAATGACTAAGCCAACAAAGCAAAACGAACAAATATTATCAGCATTGTATGTAAATTCAAAAGAGAGAATCAAAGCTAAAATGACACAAGCAAATTATTTATGCTATACTCACCTGTGATACATTGGTAACAACTCGAGTGAGCACGTAAACACTAGAAACTTGATAATAAGAAACTTTCTTCAACCAATAAGTCCATGGTGTGTTTACGCGAGTTTTTGCACAACCATCATTCTTATTACTGAAAAGTAAAATACATCTTCACTTAACTAACATTCTTTAACATTCAAATTTTCAGAGAGTGTGGTTTTATAAGAGATCTAAATATCTCCACATCTAGTAAATAGTTTAGATTTCACAATAACATGAACAAGTATAATATTTAAAAAGAAAATTAGTTTTTAGAGCTCATGCAAATCCCCATTGTTTAATGACTTTATAATTGATAAATCCTAATTCATGTCACAAACCTCGGCTCCTTAATTCCAAGATGAAAGATGATCACAAAGACAGCGCCGATGAAAATTGATATATATGACATCCAGCGATACTACACAAGAGTGCACTACATATTAGAAATATAACACACTAAAATGTTATTATAGCTCAAACACTAGCTAGTTTAGCATACCTGAACTTTAATGTCTTGTAGCCCAGGTATAGTGCCATTGAAAATGAAAAATGTGATTGCATAAAAGATGAGGCTTGCAATCTATCAATGATTCGCCAAAAATCGATGTGAGAAAAAATGGTTAGTCTCTCATGTTGAAAATACATGAAATCCAAGGATAGAAATCATTGACCAAATAAGTCATGGATAGTAAATCTAAACCATTGTAAATGCGTTGCGACAGCTAACACATGCTATCCTGCTCGATTCATTGAGTGTAATGCAATTCACCATTGACCTACGACATTAATACATTATTAGATTTTGTCATTAACATTTTTTACAAGACCTTTCAAAGGCACATCATTAAAAAAGGCAAGAAGGTGTTGAAGGATGATTACATGTGTGATATCTGAGTACAAGACCATCCGCTACAGTAGATAACAGCAGATATGCAATACCAAACTGTTTGTGTCATTTGAGAATATGAACCCCCAATTTTGCACGGGATGCAAAGGCCACTAAAAAGTGAAATAAATGAGAAAGCAACCATTATGCACCCAATGCCATGCCATCTCTTGAAATGCCCGTATCTATCTATCTATCATACAAAAGAAAGAAAACCGTATTAAAACGTCTCAGATAATAATGCACCTTAAACAAAAAAAATAAAATTGTCAACATGGATATGACTAGCATATATACAGATAGTTTGACTTGACATGAATTTTTTTTTAAGTAATACCACCTCAGTTTAAAAGGGTGGTTAAGTCTAAAAATTTACCAATTGACCAACGATGATGGTTGTGAATGCATCAGCGAATTGACCGATAAGTGTGACAATAGCTGCACTACTATAGAGCATAAATGTGATAGCATTTTAGAGTATAGACAACTTAATGAGAAATAAGAAAAATATAAAGAGGCTTGCAGAACAATACCTTGGGGGCAACCCAATATCTGTCAAATAGAGCAAGAGATATGTATACCAACATGATTGTGTAATGTCATTCAGCATGTGGCCTACTCCATATGTGAACACCAAGCTCCTTCTTAGTGGTTTTTCCTCCTCCACCCAGTTTTCATTGATCATTGTTTTCATTTCAACTTATGTATCAAGTCTCAAAATGATTAATAATCAATTAATCAAGGTTAATTGTTTGATCTTTCCATAGCTACTAACTCCTGTAATGAAATAATAAAAACAATATTGCATACTTGTGAGCCAATACATACACTCTTTTACACACATGGGAAATCAATAAAAGAATTTTAAAAATGATTAAATGAGTCACGCTTCTCATTTTTTGTTTCTTCACAATGATAGAAAGTGTCCAATGAATGCAAATGTTTTACCTAACTTGGCACTGATGCAGCGGCAGAGGCCTACATATTTTTTAATACTCTGTATGTTTTTTTATATTTTAAAGTTTTTATTAATTTTTTTATTATTTTAATTATAAATTTATAAATGTTTTATTATTTTTTTGTTATTATTATAAATAAAACTATGATTTTGTTATTAATAAAATACTTCCTCTGTCTCTTTTTATTTAGCCAAACACTATTTTTCAAGTCAATCATGTTAAACTTTGACCGATTATATATTTATACACGATAATATTGATAATATGAAAAGGATATGGAAATGTTCATTGCTAAAATTGTTATCATAAAAGTATATATTTATTAAGTTTCACATAAATATAGTAGTTGAAATCATGAATCAAAGTTTTCATCTTTGACTTGAAAAGTCAAAGTTGACTAAATAAAAAGGTACAGAGGTAGTAAGTCTTATTGGCGATCATAGGAAGGGGGTATTGTAACACCGCCCCCAAGTAATCGTACTTTATCAAATTATGTATTGAACCCTAAGAAATGACTAAAAGCATTTTTTACGCGATTGTAAATTTTTATCATTTCTTTTACGTGAATAGTAAAATTCACGTGGGGCCCACACCGGAAGTGGGGCCCGCCCGGTACTGTCGGGACCACATATTATATTAACCTTGGCCTAGATAATATGTATATGGTTGTGGATATCCTAATTGGGCCGTGGCAATGGCATAGGGTTGACCGGTTGGTCAAACGAGGCCAAATTATCAGTATCGGCAATTTATCAGATAACAGCTCAAAAAGGGATTTCGTAGACTTCTACCTTAAAGTTGAGGAATGTATATGCATTATAAAGTCCAAAAAGGATTCAGAACATGCGTTATATTTTATTTGACCCGATAAAATAAAATGTAATTAAAACAGTCCGAAAAATACAACTTTCGGGACCGATTGTGCACTCGGGGACACAAAGGGTTGACCTCCCACATAAGTGGGGGCCAACCCACGTTTTCCTCTTCCAGTCATATATCACACCCTAGGATTGTTTTACACGTTTGGAAGTGTAGAATGAGGGGTTGGAAGGTAGTTCTAAGTCCAAGAACGGACTTAGAAGCCAAAGTGACCGGTTCGCCGGAAAATAACCTTTTGGAGGCTATTCGTATTAATATGGGTTTTATGATGATAAAACCTTGTTAGTAACTTGTCTAAGGTATTCAAGGAACTTTCACGGAGTTGAAAGGGTCGCCGGAATTGTCGCCGGAGTTCGTTGAAGTTCGTCGGAGTTTCGCCGGAGCTCGATAAGGAAGGCTAGAACTTCATAAGCTTCATTTAAGGTGAGAAGACGGGTTTATGCTTTATAACTTTTGTTTGAGGCATGAGATTACCTAAATTAATCAAGAATATGTTTTATGGATTGATTAATGGTATTAAAGTATGTGTTATGTTATGTTAAGGAATATAACATAGTTGGAAAGCATGATTTATAAGTTTGATTGGTGAAATTTCTATAAATTGACATGTATGATGTTCCAAGGACCCAAACGGGTATTTTTGGATTAAGAATGCCATAGAGTTTTTGCATGTAAAATTTCACGTTAATCGGACTCCGTTTGGGCGGCCAAACGGGCATTGACCGCCAAGTCAAGTGTTATACCCGACCGGGTATTTGCTGAAAATTTGCCCCATGGGATACTGTCTTCTATACCCGATTGAGTATGGGTATGTACTCGATCGAGTATACACTAAAAATTGGCCTTACGGGCTACTGTCTCCTGTCCTCGACCGAGTATAGGTGAGTACTCGATCGAGTATTGGATTATACTCAAAACGGGCAGTTTTTGAGTAGGTTAGCGTGGGTCGTTCAGGTGGGACCCATCCACGTTGGTTACTAAGGATGTTTATATGACTATAGGGCTAGGTATTGCCCGTAGTTAAGGGAATGAAAGGTTAGCCATATCCAGGTTAGGATTTGGTAGAGAATAGACTGGGGATTGAGTATCCTTGGACGGTAAATGATCCAGAATACTCCAGGTGGGGTCGAGTACCCTTGGACGGTAAATGATCCAGAATACTCCAAGTGGGGTCGAGTACCCTTGGACGGTAAATGATCCAGAATACTCCAGATGGGGTCGAGTAACCTTGGACGGTAAATGATCCAGAATACTCCAGGTGGGGTCGAGTACCCTTGGACGGTAAATGATCCTAAATACTCCAGGTTGGGTCGAGTGCCTTGGACAGTAAATGATCCTAAAACACTCGGTAGTATGAATCGAAGGTAGACTATAGCTTGTGAGCTAGGCGTCCGGTAAAGGAGTGAGAAAAGTCAGGTAAGAACTTTATCTCTAAAAGACTCTTTAAATGAAATGACCTACGGGTTGAGTATTTTACAAATATATATAGTATGTATCATCGTGTGGATGAGTCACGTATATATATAGGTATCACCCTATTTTTTGGGTCTCGTGTCTGAAACATTAGTTATTCTTCATATAGTCTGCTTGTCACTAGTACTTCTATGGAGTACTGACCCCTCCGGGGGCCCTCACATTTTTCAGGTTAAGGCTAGAGTCCTACTACCTGCACCTTTGCCTAGGGTGGCTGATCAAGAAGGAAGACGTGGTTCATGCTTCCATTCTTATTTCAAATTTATAAACTGCTCATGGATTTTCGAACAATGTTTTCCTTAAAACAGTTGGGGGCCTGCTTGCCCGTGATATTGATGATATTGATGTTGATTGTATGTGTTTACTAATCGGTTTGACAATAGAATCAATCGGACGCCTTGTACAATTTAACAGGGATGAACTGTTGTTGTTCTTATCGGGTTGTACGGCGGTTGTCTACGTTGCCCGGATGCGGTCCGGGGCGTGACAGGTATAATAGGAAGAGAGAACACATATTACCCATATTTTGGGAATAAAAAATATAGTTATATTATTGCATCTTAGAGTAATTTTACTCCCACTTTGGGGGTGACGTGGCCGATAGAGGTGCGTCTACGAAATGAGGAGATGAGGTGGTGGGGTGCGGGTTGGGTTACAAAGCAGCGGCAACACATGAGAGGGGTTGCTTAGTCGCCGAGTCACGGGTAGGGTTATGTGGTCGGCGACTACCGCGGCTGGGTTTATGGGTTCAACGGTTGTTGCGGTAGGGGTTATGGGGTCAGCGGCAGCTGCGTCTAGGGGTGAGCATAATCCGGTTTGGATCGGAAAATCGGACAGAACCGAGTTGGTCGGTCCAAACCGGACCGGGATCGGATGGATACCGGTCCGGTCTTCGGTCCAGGGGCTTTACCGATTCCGGTTCCGGTCCGATCTAAAACACGGAATATTCCGGTCTGGACCGGTTAGACCGAAATTAGGTTATTATATACATAGTAACCAAGCATTCCAGTCCGGCTGGTTGTGAGGTTAACGTGCCTCATGAGAGGTCTCGAGTTCGAAATCCGCTGGGCACATAAGGGTTTGAAATTCAATGGAGTGAGTTTCAGCCCTGTTACTCCAGGCCCCCCAGCCCCCTTCCCCGGACGCCCCCTGGAGTAAAAAAGCTTAATACATAGTGTGATTAATTAAATTCCTCCTTGTGATATGCAAAGTTATAGAGTCAACTCATTACTAAATTAATCGAGCAAGGAACATTAATTTCTTGTACTAATATGGTCATGCATAAAATTTTAGTGTAAAAACAGAATCACATATTTTTCATATTTCCACTAGGCATAGTTTATCTGTTTATTTTTACTTATTTGCTGTATTAAGATGTATATTATATTGATTAAAATAGACATAAAAATGCAAATGATACATATAAAAGAATAAATTAGAAATCATCACATATAAAACTTCATAAAATAATACTGTGTAATAGAAACAACGAGCTAATAAGTAAATTTTTGGACAATCAAAATTATTTTTTAAAAGATGAAACATTGTAAAAAATAATAAAATTAAAAAACTGGTCCAATACCGGTCCGGACCAAAATAACCGGAATAATCCGGTCCGGTCTGGTCCGGTCCTGGACCTGATATATATAGGTCCGGTCTTCGGTCCACTTTTTTTAGAATTTCGGTTCCGGTTCAACTGGTTTCGGTTCAGTCCAACAATAAATACTTCGTATATACTTGGAATGTGGTTGGATATACGAAGGTGCAGTGTAGGACTTTACCTATGCACATATAAGGGAGGAACAAGGCAAGCGGAAGTGATTAGCAGCCGTGAGCCGTTCATAGCAGCCTGCTGTGTAACATGTTTCTGCTGGATCAGCTGACATATATATACCGAATAAGAGCTTGAACGAACTCAATCTTTATGTTGAATATAAAGAAAGCTAGAATTGAAGCTAAATAAGCTGCCTATATATCTATATTATCTCAGAGAAAGAACCAACTACAAATACAAAACACTATAACTATGACATTATGATCGAGCCATGCATATATGGGCAATGTCAGGAAGGAATTGAAGGTACAATATATATATATATATATATATATATATATATAATATCAGCTTGGGCGGGGCACGCTTTTCCATGCAAATACCGCTACGTATAAAATATTGGAAACATTTTAATAAAAAAAATATGACACCCCATCCCTGAGGGCCCCGAACCCCGACCGAATGGTACGTTGGGAGGATGTAAATTAGACTATAATCTCAATCTTACAAATAGAGAGTGAAGCTCTGTCCCCGGTACTTGCAGAGGCCCTATGCATTTTAATTAGCATTGTAACCTTTCATCGCAGTTACCGGGATTCGAACCCGAGAACTAGCAATTGTGGCACTCCCTTGCTACCAGTTGAACTAATACGCCCACCGGTATTGGAAACATTTTAATTATTTGTACTCCTTATTAGTACATCGGTCCTCTTTTAGTTACAACATTGAAGAATTTGCG